TAATTAAAACGGGAAGGAAGGGTGGGGGCTGCAGACGGTCAAGGTAATGCCATTCCTGCCCCATCAGGGGTTTGTGTGGAAACTCCCTTCCCAGGGGCGATAATACCCCTTAGTGTGCCCCCCAAACCCACACAATGGTTTGTTCCAAAATAGACGCCCCCTACCCAGTGGTACCTCCCAGACGGACTGCTCCCTCTCAGCCTCCTGCAGTGTTATAACCTGAGAGGGTGGGTCTATCTTGTTCATTCCCTAACTCCCATAGGCCCCCTAGTGGTGTGATTAAGGAAGCTTTGATGCAACTGCCCTGTGCACCTTTCCTTCTCAGGCTCCTCCCACTCCCTGGACCCTTCCATCCACGTCTCTCCCCAGTCCACACCCAGTCCCAAATGGACCATTCCAGGCCTTGACCCTGAGATCTTGCAGAGAGCCAAGGCCAAGGAGTCCATCCACCTGCCTCATGATGCCCAGCAAATTCTTGCCCAAGTTGCAGGCTCGATCCCCAGTGTGGGGCATGGGAGGCAGGCAATCAATGATTCTCTCTCATCACTGATGTTTCTATCTTTCTCTCTCTATCCCTTCTTCTCTGACCAGGAAGTGAACCGTGACCTCCTGATTCATAAGTCGGTGCTCAACCACTGAACCACACAGGCGGGCAATAAAAAATTTTTTTTAATCTTTTAAAATTCTTAATAACGCTAATAATTTATCCATGGATTATTTTGGATTTTCTACAACACAATGGTATCATCTACAAATAATGACAATTCTGTTCATTTCCAATCATTAAATATTTTTTTATATCTTTATTGACTTCAGAGAGGAGGGGAGAGGGAGAGAGAGATGATGAGAGAGAATCATTGATTAGTGCCTTCTCCCCGATTGGGGATTGAGCCCGAAACTTGGACATATGCCCTGACCAGGAATCGAACTGTGACCTCCTGGTTCCTAGGTCAGCACTCAATCACTGAGCCACCGTGCTGGGCCATTAAATATTTTTAATATTTTTTTGTTGATTTCAGAGAGAAAGGGAGAGAAACATCAATGATGAGAGAAAATCATTGACTGGCTGCCTCCTGCACGCCCCCTACTGAGGATCGAACCCGAAACCCAGGCATGTGCCCTTGACCAGAATTGAACCTGGGACCCTTCAATCTGCAGGCTGACGCTCTATCCACTGAGCCAAACTAGCTAGGGCAAATATTTTCTTTTTCTTGACTTAATGTGCTTGCTAGGACCTCCAGTACAATGCTAAGTAGAAATGGTAACAGCAGGCATGCTTGCTACATTCCAAAGGTCAAAGCTCTTAACATTTCACTTCTAAGTATGTAGTTTATTGTAAATCTTTGTAGATACCCTTTATGTTAAGTAGGTTTATTCAACGAACTTGCTAAATCAAATTTTATCTCTTTCTGTACATCAAGCACGTCAAACTCACGGCCCACGGGCCATATGCGGCCCACAATGAATATTTTTGCGGCCCAGCCAATATAACGGTATGTAAGAAACGTTTTAATAAAAATTTCATAACTTCATTTTTACAATATCCTGTTATACATAATTATTAATAATGAACTACAACGTTTGCTAATGACTGATTACTATAATTGTGTTGCATTCATTTTCCTTACTTGCCTTACATGCAGGCACACCATTTCTCTCCACTGATATTAGCAGTGAATATTTTAGCAGCCGATTGCCACATCATTCGTCTTGGACTGACTTGTTTGGTGTGCGCAACAGGAAATATTTTGCTTTCGGAGAACAAGAAAAATAGGTTTATTTGTGTTATGCTTATTAATTTGTGCAGTTATTCAGTGTCTGGTAAGTTAATGTTCAAGAAAAAATATTAATTTTTATTAAAATGTTCTATTATTTTGTTAATGATGACTCATTTATTTCAGCCCTTTGTATTCAGCATGTCTCTATCAAAATAAACCTATGTTTCTATGAAAATTGAAGCTTTTGTATTTTGGTGGCCCACATAAATTTAAACCTTGTTTATTTGGCCCGGGTTAGCCTTTGAATTTTACATGCTTGTTCTACATCTATTAAGATAGTTGTGGTTTTTCTTGTTTAATTTGCTAATGGAGCAAATTATGCTGATTAAATTCAAATGTTAAATCACAGTGCAGTTTTGGAATAAATCCAACTTGGTCATATTATACTTTTTTAATATACAAATGGTCCCCAACTTATGATGATTCAACTTAAAACTTTTTCGATTTTATGATAATGCAAAAGCGATACACATTCAGTAGAAACCATGTTCAGATTTTGAATTTTGATCTTTCCCCAGGCTAGCAATATGCAGTATGATACTCTCTTGTGATGCTGGACAGCAGTGAGCCAAAGCTCCTAGTCAGCTACAAAATCACAAGAATAAACAACCAATACTATACAGTGTTTTGTGTTACCATCATTTTTTGGATATTGTGTTTTGTGTTTTAACATCCCATCATGTCTACAAAACACCCAACTGTGTCCTCTGTTTCTGGTGAGACGAGGAAGACAATTACTTGGCATAAAACTCAAGATAATTGCCCAACTGTAGGCTAATATAAGTGTTCCTGGCACATTAAATGTAGGCTAGATTAAGCTGTGATGTTTGGTAGGGTAGGTGTATTAAACACATTTTCAACTTACAATACTTTCAACTTATGATGGGTTTATTGGGAAGGAACCCTATTAAGTCAAAGAGCATCTGTATTGGACTTTGGCAGTGCTATAGACTGAATATTTCTGTCCCTTCAAAATTTATACATTGAAACCTAATCCCCAATGTGATGGTATTAGGAGGTGAAGCCTTTGGGAGGTGATTAGGTCATGAGGGTGGAGCCCTCATGAATGGGATTAGTGCCCTTATAAAAGAGACTCCAGATATTGATTTCATCCTCTCACTCTGTAAGGACACAGTGAGAAGACAGCTGTCTGTGAACCAACAAGTTGGCCCTCACAATACACCAAAACTGCCAGCACCTTGATCTTGACTTCCCAGCCTTAGGATGTGTGAGAAATAAATTTTGTTTATTAGCCATCTAGCCAGCCTGAACAGACTAAGACAGGGAGTTATCACTTGGTTTAAAATATTTGCATCTATTTTCTTGAGAGTGTTCTGTAATATTTGTTTTTCACTCATCAGGTTTTAGTATCAAGGTTATAAAATGAATTAGGAATGCTCCCTCTTTTTCTACACTCTGGAATTGCTTTTGTTCTTTGTGTGTGTGTGTGTGTTTTTTAAAATATCTTTTTATTGATTTCAGAGAGGAAGGGAGAGGGAGAGAGATAGAAACATTAACGATGACAGAGAACCATTGACTGGCTGCCTCCTGCATGCCCCATGCTGGGGATTGAGCCAGAAACCCGGGCATGTGCCCTGACTGGGAATCGAACCGTGACCTCCTGGTTCCTAGGTCAATGCTCAACCACTGAGCCATTCGAGGTGGGCTGGAATTGCTTCATAAAATTGGAATTACTTATTCCTTGAGTGTTTCACCAGTGAACCCATCTGAGCCCAGAGTTTCTGTGTAGAAAGACCTTTGTCTACAGGTTCTGTTAATAGGGCTACCCAGAGTTTCCTTGTTTGACACAGTTTTGGCAAGATATATGTCTGTAGTAATTTGTCCATTTTATCTCATTGCTCAATGTAATTGGCATAAAGTTGCCTTTTAGAACATTGATCAAATTACCACATTAATGGAAGGACACCAACACATGTCTGGATTTTGATATTTGACAAAGTCAGAATATCCTCATTGAAAGACAGGTGAAATATGGGTGTGCTGATTTGTTTTCACTAGCTGTGTTCCACTTCCAGACCTCTTCAATGCCATTCCTTCTGACTGGACTGTGGATTCTTTCTCAATTTTTAAAATTCGATTCAGGCACCGTGTCCTCTAAGGCTCCCAGATTCCCTACACTAGGCTAAACATCTACCCTGGAGCCTCCACAGCCCACTGTACCCATCATTGTTAATGGACTAACCACACTCCACTGAAATTCTCTCTCTGTGTCTTTCCCCATACACTGAGCTCCTTCATCTGTCTTCAGTGCAGAGCAGAGGTGACCAGTCAACACTTAGGGAACTGAACTGAGCTTATAACCAATGAATGACCAAATAAGTTCTCTAGCCACCTGCCTATATTTCCCCACATGCATTAGCTTGTTCCTTCATTTATTTCATTGAGCATCTACTATGTGCCAAGAACTGTTCTAGAAGAATGGCTGGTGAGCAAAGAGGAAAAGTTGGAGAGTGTGTTGTCCTGGAAACCAAATGAAGAAAGGATTTCAAGTTTGAGATGATCAACTGTGTCAAATGCTGCCAGTAGGTCAAGTAAGATAAGGTCTGAAACTGGAACATTGATATAACAACCAGTGAACAGCACTTTTGCTGAAGTGCTTGGGCAAAAAGTCTGATTGGGGCTGTTTCAGAAAAGCCCTGGAGCCCCGGAGGAGAATAACTAAAGAAAAACTAGTATAGAGTTTTGCTGTGAAGGAAAGTAAATAAATATATGGTGTTTTATTTTGCTCTGCAGCGTTTTTAAATTGCATGTTGTAAATATATCTAGCCATTGTTTCAAAGCTTCTGGGTTTCCTGTTTTGAATTAGAAATACAATGTCTGTGGACAGCAACTCTGGCATGAATTTTTCACAGTACATTAACACCTTTGTCCTTTCTGAGGCCTTCCCAATCTTGGGGACCAAAGGATCTCCCTGCTGGTGTCAAAGGCTGTTTTTTTAAAGTAACTTCAAAATCTTGTGGCTGATTCACAACCAATATCTCCACATCCACAGCTGACCACATCCACTACTGCAACCACATGTGTGACATCAAACCCTCATGTGGCTGCCACTCTTCCTCCCTCCCTGACAGAATGTGGACCGGTCTCCCAAAGACCACCAGACCACATGTATTAGGACAATAAGGTGAGACAACACAGATCCTCAATGACATGTTGAAGCAGCAGCAGCAGCAGCAGCAGCAGGCATGACCACACCTCGCATTCCACATGCCACTCCCCACTGTGACACTCCCATATGATCACCCTGCACACTCATTCCTGAACAGGAGAACACTGCACAGCAAGACACATCATTTCTCATAGAGCTCTATTGTGGCATATAATAATAGGTACTCTATATAAATTAAATTAAAAATAAAGCTCCAGCAGGTTGCACAGGTTGGCTGTTAATAAATATATCTCTGGGTAATTGTGCCCCAAGACCAGCTCATGACCACTCTCCCTCATCCAGAGAATTATACAAAAATAAATACAGGCTCAGGGGGGTGGGGGGGGAGGACATGCCCAGTGCCATTCTGCAAGTTCTCATTTCCACTATCCATCCGTCCCCTGTTCCTCTCCACTGGTATCACCACAGGAGCCCTGTGCTGACTGGAGAGCTCAGAGACGGGGAGGCCTCTCTGCAGTCAAGCATTCTCAGAAGTAAAGGATCCACTCACTGTACAGGCCACACATCCCATATGAACCCTCTGGGGATGGTGCAGGGGCTGCCCCTCCCCAAACCCCAGAGGGGGGGACACTTGTTATTGCTGGTCCCACAAGCAGCTCCTACGAGAACCAGGCCAGAGAGAGGCACAGCGCAAGCACCAGGAGGGACATACCACTGTTCAGAGCCACAGGGACCACTACCAGGCCAGCCAGGACTCCCAGAGTCTGGGTCAAGGGCCCCCAGAGCTGGGGAGACAAAACACACACACATTCTGCAGGGGCTGCTAAGGTGGGAGACCTCTTTGGGGACTCAAGGCTTAGGCCTGAACCCTCTTCATCCTGGAAACTCACATGGCACCTGGCCAGGCTGGAAGGACAGATTTCAGCCCCTGAGATGCCAAGGAGGGTGAGATTTTGCCCCGGCGGGCCTGAAACAGCTGGCTCCTTGCCAGATACAGGAACCAAGCTGTCTGCCCATTCAGTGGACTCCATCCGGGCTTCTGTCCCTCCTGGGAACCCAGGTACCCCAGATATCACTCTATTCGTGTGCAAAGAGTCAGTGTCCTTGCGCATCCCCTTCTCTGGCGCCCCATTGAACTGCCCCTCTGGACCCAAAACCACAGGGCTGTCACATGTCAAGCCCCCTGCCCATGGGAGCCACACATCTCCCATAGTGGCTACCACAGAACGGGCCCCAGAGAGGATTTCCGGAGGCGATTCCTTGGGGGTGCCCCCTTCCGGACTGGAGGGTATCGTGGAGAGCCCCTCTTCACCCTCCCCCTCCTCATCAGGGTCCTCAGTGTCCTTGATAAGCTCCACACCACGCCCCAGCCGGGCATAGTGCAGTGTGATCTCTTCTGCCAGGGCGCTGTTCAAGGCCCGCTCAGGGCCAGGCCACTTCAAGATCAGGTCGCGGTCCGTGAATATGCCCAGGGGATGGCTAGGAGACACCCCTCCATCTGTGGAGCCCTCCCCGCCATTTCCTGCCCCACCTGCAGCCACAGCAGCCCGCAGGCGGCTCAGGTGGGACAGGTAGAGCTGCTCCAGCTCCTGGTCAATGGAGTCCTCGCTGAGCAGCTCCTCCAACCCACTCATGGCCTCCAAACCCCTGGGGGGCTCGTCCTTTCGGCCCCCTCCATTCTCGCTGGATACTTCCCACGCAGCCTCCACCTGTGGCTGACTAGGTTCCAGGAGAGGCCCAGCTGCCCCCTCACTTGCATCAGGCCCCGAGGCCTGGTCCCTGGGGGAGCCACCCAGGCCACAGAGAAAGGAGGAGGGGGGGATCCTGATGGCTGGTGTCTGGTGGACCTCTGTGAAAGCCACAGATGCACTGTTTCTGGGGATGTCACCTTCCTCTGTGAGTCTGCCAGTCACTGTAACTTCAGAAACCTGGGGTGGGGGAGAAATGGAAGGAGATGAAGTAGAGGAGGGGGTGGAACAAGCAGTGAAAACTGGTAACAGCCCACACCCAGACCCATAGGTATTTCTAGATAAAAACTCCTTAAAGGGCCTTCTATAATTCTCTAAATTCCAGACTGTCGTCTATATTAAAATAAAATCAGATGAAGTAAAGGAGGCTTCCTCCAAATCAGCGGTTCTCAACCTGTGGGTCGCGACCCCTTTGGGGGTCGAACGACCCTTTCACAGGGGTCGCCTAAGACCATCAGAAAACACATATATAATTACATATTGTTTTTGTGATGAATCACTATGCTTTAATTATGTTCAATTTGTAACAAAATACATCCTGCATATCAGATATTTACATTACGATTCATAACAGTAGCAAAATTACAGTTATGAAGTAGCAACGAAAATAATTTTATGGTTGGGGGTCACCACAACATGAGGAACTGTATTAAAGGGTCGCGGCATTAGGAAGGTTGAGAACCACTGCTCCAGATCATACAGCTGAGGTGAATACTGCTGGTTGGCCTCCAAAACATATCCAGAACATTCACATGAATTTATGCAATTTTTATTTAAAAAAATATTTCCTAGCTCTGTCTTTTGACAAGGCCTAGAAATAATGATCAATTTAGTAGCAATGGGCATACCTAGTCCCCAGATCTAAATAGCATTCTCCACTAAAAGGAATTAGGGCTCCTTAAATAAATGGCTATTTCCAATTTTGGGGCAGGTAAAGTCCTATAATGTGAAGAAGTGCTCAAAGAATGATGGGTATGTGTCAAAAGGACTGTGGCACCAATCTAAAAAAGCTTCCACTGACCAGAGGCAGTTCAATTTAAGCATCAAAAAAAAAAAATAAGGGCAATGAATTGAAACTCATCAAATATGTTTAAAATTCATGAGTTAATAATGATATACCAAAACCAAAAATCCTTTATTTGGTCACCTTTGAAGAAGTTGATTTCTTCTGAAAATTGGTAAATAAGAAGGGGAAAATCAATTATTTATACAACTTTTTCTACACAAACTATATACCTTCAAGATTACACACTGTCAAGGTAGCCAGACAGTTGATGTGAGAAAGTTTTTCCTTAGAAATAAATTCCAGCCAATAAACAAAGGGGGAATAAGAGAATTAAACAGAATCAATTCTATTTAAATTACTTTAATAATAATATATTTGTATCTAATAAATTAATTTAATAAAAGTAATAGTTTAGCCCTAGCCGATTTGGCTCAGTGGATAGCGCGTTGGCCTGCGGACTAAAGGGTCCTGGGTTTGATTCCAGTCAAGGGCACATTCCCGGGTTGCAGGCTCAATCCCCAGTGAGGGGTATGCAGAAGGCACCCAATCAATGATTCTCTCTTATCATTGATGTTTCTATCTCTCTCTCCCTCTCCCTTACTCTCTGAAATCAACAAAAATATATTTTTTAAAAGTAATAGTTTAATAAATTGATTAAATTTAATAGATCTGAATAATTACATAGAATTAATAAATTAATAACAACTGAATAAAAGCCCGACCGGTGTGGCTCAGTGGTTGAGCATCTACGTAAAAATTGAGTAAGAAATGTGTTTCCACATGGGTGCAATCAGCCAAATCCATACTGTGAGAAATTCTACAGGATAAACAAGGTTTCTTGAACAAATTGCAACAAAAGTGAGATTTAAAAATCTAAAAGGAGCCCTGACCAGTTTGGCTCAGTGGATAGAGTGTCGGCCTGCGGACTGAAGGGTCCCAGGTTCGATTCCAGTCAAGGGCATGTACCTTGGTTGCGGGCACATCCCCAGTGGGAGATGTGCAGGAGGCAGCTGATGGATGTTCCTCTCTCATCGATGTTTCTAACTCTCTATCCCTCTCCCTTCCTCTCTGTAAAAAAATCAATAAAATATATTTTTTAAAAAAAATCTAAAAGGACCAATCCATCAACCAAATGCAATGTGTTGACCTTTTTGGATCCTAAAAACTTATGAAATAAGGAAATTTGAACATTAACCAAATATTCAATGACACTAAGGAATTAATTGTGTTAATTTTTGTTAAAATTAATGTTAATTGTCTGAAGTGTGATGATGGCACTGTGTTTTTTTAAGAGTTATTAATTTTATGAGATACAAACTGAAGTATTTATGGATGGGATAATGTCTAGATTTTTTCCAAAATAATTCCACAGAGAATGGGAGGGGAGAGAAAGGGTGGGATATAAAAAGGTAGGAATGGACATGTGTTGAAGTTTGTTGAAGCTGGGTGATGGATATATGTGGGTTCATTATACTAGTCTCTACTTTTACTTATACTTGAAAAAAATTGTAATAAAAAGTTAACACACACATTAACATACATCTCCTGAGTTTCTCCACCCCGCTGTCAGCACCACCATCACTCACCTGGACCACTGCAGTCACCTCCTCTTCACAGCCCCCCTGCTTCTGCCTCACCCCTACAATCTATTTCCCTCACAGCAGCCAGAGGGAGCCTGTTAAATCCTAGGTCATGTCATGGCCCTTCTCAGTTGGTGACCCTCCCGTGGCTCCCTTGTCGCTCAGAGTAGAAGTCAGAGTCTTCTCCATGGCCCATGAGGCCCTATACAATCTGTCCCTGCCATCTCTCCAACCTCACCTCCCCCTGCTGCCCCTCATTCACTGTTCCTCGCTGTTCCTCACGCACATTAATCATGGCCCTGCTCTAGGACTTTGCACTTGCCTGGAATGTCCTTCCCCTAGTTATCCACGTAGCTCATTCTCACCTTCTTCACATCATTACTCAAATCTCACATCCCTAGCCACTCTAAAATCTAAAGTTGCAAACTTGTCCCCATCCAAACCCATTCTCTCTCTCCCCCTCCCTTCCTTCCTCCTTTCCTTCCTCTCTCTCCTTATCCCTTTTTCACCCCTTAGCACTTACCATTATCCAAAACACCATATATTTATCTATTGTTCTGTTATGTCTCACACCACTAAAATGTAAGTAAGCCCCAGGAAGACATCATTTCTGGTCACTACCATATTCCCTAACAGGGCTTTGCACAGACCAAGCATTCAATAAACATTTGCTAAGTTACCAACTGACATTAAGATAAGCCGAGGTAAAAAACTGCATTCTACCCTTCCACCATCAGGTTATGATTTGGGGGATCTCCCTCCAACCTAGGGTGGACCCAGAACAAGTCAGCTCCACCACCCAGCCTCCCATTGGGCTGTCTGTCCCGAGGCTTTCCGGGCCTGCTTACCTGATGTGTCATCTGTGGCCATGGACGGAGAGGAGTGGGAGCCACCAGGGGACCCACTGACTCCTGGACATCAAGATGATCTGCTGGAGAGAAGAAAAGGGCAGCACTGAGGTGAGGCAGGCTTACAAGCAGGCCTGGTTTGGTTAAGAAAATCTGTCCTAGCCAATAGGCAGTTTTGCCTCTGAAGCTTTCTGTGACAGTCTAAGGTAGAGGTGCCTCTTAATTTGTATAGAAAGGAAAGGGGGAGGAAGAAAAAAATGACAAATATAAGCTAAAACTCCTACCACCTGCCAACTGCTTACCCACAGCAGGGGTATTATCATCCGAGCTCTTCATCCTCAGCTCTTCCTCGTTAGGCCTGTGGGACAGAGGAGACAACACATGGATCTGAGCCCTGAGAAGCCAGTTCTGCCATCCACCAGCCACTTCTGAGCCGCTGTGGTGGCCACCCTCACTTGACAGCTGCTGTTCTCTCTTCTGCTGCCTCCTTCCATCCCGATGATAAAAGTCCTACACACTCAATGTAAAAAATTTACAAAATACAGGGAAGCATAAAGCAATAAAAAGTGCCACATTAGCCAGAGGCAACCATCATTACCATTTTGGAAAATGTAATTCCAGACATTCTATGAAAGTGTTTAGATTTTTCAGATATAATTTTGCACTGGCTTTGTCCATTTAACAGTAAGAAGCACCATTCGATACTTCTGTAAACATTTGAAATAGCTGCTTACTGCTCTCATCATATGGGCTTGCCAGAAGGCATGTACCCATTCCTGTCCTACTGAGCAGCTAGTTGTTTCTTCTATTTTACACTCACAGAGCAGGCTTCAGCAGAAACAGTTGCCTATAACTCTATGAGCAACTTGGATCATTTCTTTAGGGTATCTTCTGAGCTATGCAGAAACCCATCTTTTCCAAGCAAGAGCAGGTGAGGACTATGGGGCACCGGAAGCAGCAAAAGAGAGAAGGTGACTGGTGACCAGGAAAGAGGTCAGCAGAAAATGAAGTAACCTGGGGTAGTAGAGGCCTGGATCCCACTGCCAACCCTCCTCCCATTGCCATAACAGCCTAGCAAGGCACCTAACCTCCCTGAGCCTCACCCCCTCACCTTAAAATACAGCACAGGGTATCCAGGATGTGCACACCAAGCACAGGGCAGTCAAGAGAAATGAGGACATCAAGCCAGACGCCAGGCCTGGTACAGAACAGGGGCTGAATCAACCGTAGATGTTTGTTGGTCTTGGTCTTCCTTCACCAGGCAAATCAGACCCCAAGGTCTGAGTGGCATAAGCCAGCTGTATTTCAGCCAGTCCCTGCCAGGTGTGAGGTCACAGGGCTCATGGGGAAATCACTGTTCTCATATGAGTATCAAGTGCTTACAGATTAAGGCAGTGAGAGAAGCATTAGCTAAAACATGTACAGAAATCTGACAGGAGCTGAGGCAATTGCTCAGACCTTTCGCTTCCTAGAGGTAATTTGATGATGTTGACATTTCTGAAAATGATTGCAATTTTTTAAAAACACGTAATCAATTACCTTTACAGAAACAGAATATCACTAGCTGACCCAAATACAGTAGTTACTATGGTGTTAGGCACATATACTATAAATTAAATCCTCACAGCAACCCATGAGATAGGTACTTTTAATCCTCTGAAGTAGGCAGTATTATTATCATCTTACAGATGATGAAATGGAAGCTGAGTAAATGGCTCAAGGTCAGCAGTGAGGATCAAAACCTCTCAACCAGCAAACTGTTGCTACTTGGGTGAGGTAGACCGGGGTCTTACCCCAATCCCATCTCCAATCCTTTCCAGGAGTAGATCAAGGGAAATGGCAACAATAGACAAAATCCCTACCTCCTCCCTCCTTCATTCAGTCTTTTTTTTTAAACCTGCCTTTTACCCACCTATTCATTCCCAGCTTCCCTGCCTTCATGGAACATGTGGCTAGGAAACCACCAGACACAGAAGTGGCTGTAAAAAATCTTTTTGTTAGCACCCTAGGGGAAAACTTGAACCATATATATATAGATCTAGAGCAGCGGTTCTCAACCTGTGGGTCGCAACCCCTTTGGGGGTCGAATGACCCTTTCACAGGGGTCGCCTAAGACCATCAGAAAACACATATATCATTACATATTGTTTTTGTGATGAATCACTATGCTTTAATTATGTTCCATTTGTAACAATGAAATTGGGGGTCACCACAACATGAGGAACTGTATTAAAGGGTCGAGGCATTAGGAAGGTTGAGATTAGAGTCTGGAAGCTCCAGAAGAAATGTGTGTCTTTCTCCATGAACTAGGGCTCACGTGTCCCGCCAGAGGTCTTTGGATGAGAATATAGTCAAACTTCGGTTCTCAAACGTCTCCCATCTCAAGCAGTTCGCTTCTCAACCCCACAACCCTTTCATGCTGATACCTGTATGATCAGCCATGCATCTCTCAGGCGACAAACAAAGGAGAGAATGCATAAGTATGAGTCAGTTTACCGCTAAACCTCACGTTAACAGCTCAGGAAATTATGCTGTGAATATTTTTGTGGGGTTTTTTATTTTTTTGCTTTTGATGCTGTTTATCATTATTAAATTTTCATTTTTACTGTTTTTTTTCATTTCCTTTTTGTTAAATTTTCATTTACACTTCATGTCCTTTTTGTTTTTAAAGTGTTTATAGAACAAACAGTACATTAGACATGTACTGTATATAAGAAAGGTTAAAACAGGTAATCATTTGGGGGGGTCTAGCATGGATTAATTCAATTTATATTATTTCTAATGGGAAAAAATGATTCCGTTTTTGAACAGCTTTCTGGAATGAATTAATTTCAAGAAATGAGGTTCCACTGCACTACAGGGCCTGGAGTGGGTAACGCCAAAAGCCCAGTCATCAACTCCTGCCCATCATGAATAAGAAAGGGGGCTTGGGAGCAAACGGGCTTGGTCCTGCACTAGTCCTGTCAGTGGCTCTAAAATCCAGGTCTTTGGATTTGTGGCCTGAAATGACTTCTGATAACTTCTTTTGCTGGTGTAGTCAGTCCTTCATTAAAGAAAATGTCATCTTCCTAGGATCTTCTAAAGCAAGCTTCTTCAAGAAGACCCACAGACAGACAGGAAGGGGCAGGGACTAGGCAAGCTGTCCCCTGCCATCTGGCCCAGAGCTAACATACACAAAACCAGGCTTCTAAAAGCACTCCAGAGTCCTTAGATGCATGTGAGAGAAGCGGGTGGGGGGAAGTGGGGGGAGCGAAGGGGAATTCAGGACACAGCCAACCAGCAGGAAAAGAAATCCACAGTTCAGTTGAAGAAAGTTCAGCTGAGAAAAAGCAAATACAAAACAAATCCTTCAGCCCCCAGAGCATCTCTTCCATAACTGAGGAGGGTGAGAAGAGGGGCAACATACAGAAATCAGGTCAAACAATTCAGCAAGCCCCAAGATCCATGAAGTCAGCAAAAGTACACAGGTCACTCCCTATCTCCAAAATCAGAGATGAAAGCAAAAGACATATCTATTGTTCACCTCCTCCACCTCGAGCCCTTTTCACTGATACACCAAGTCATTTGAAAACCTTCACCTCTGTCCTTCAAGGCAACACCCTTCCCTTTTTACAAACATGGAAACCGAGGCTCAAGGAATCGTGTCTCTACATTCACTAACTACACACCACACTGATAAATCCAAAGAGGGCTCCATTTTTAAGTGTTTGAAACTGAACTTAAAAATGAAAATCTTGCCGAAACCGGTTTGGCTCAGTGGATAGAGTGTCGGCCTGCGGACTGAAGGGTCCCAGGTTCGATTCTGGTCAAGGGCATGTACCTGGGTTGCGGGCACATCCCCAGTGGGAGATGTGCAGGAGGCAGCTGGTCGATGTTTCTCTCTCATCGATGTTTCTAACTCTCTATCTCTCTCCCTTCCTCTCTGTAAAAAAATCAATAAAATATATTTTTAAAAAAATAAAAATAAAAATGAAAATCTAAATATCCAGAACTGTCTTTCACAGTAAACATTTGAGGGCAGCTATGACTTTAATCAAAAGGCTGGTGAGAGAAATGAAGTTACAGAGCCTCACTAATCAGTAACAGAGAAGAGGGTTCTTAGAAAAAGTGGAGAGGGAAGAGATTAAGAACAAAACTGTACTTCCAGTGTGCTTACTAATTTTCGAGAAGGAAACCCACTCTTTTGGCACCAGCCTCACAAATTCCACTTGGTGGTCTCCTCAAGGGCAACCGGCAATAGTGGGCTGGAACACACAGGCCTAGGGGCATCTTGGACATGCATCCTTTGGTTGCTTTCGAGAACTAGTCAAGACAGTATAGCTTAGAAGGGGCCTGCTCGCCAGTGTGAAAATTCTTCCCACCAACAGGAAATTCAATGGCTGCTGACCTCAGATGGCACCCAGAGAAACCAGGGGGTGAGATTTCAGAAAGAAGTGTCATCAGCCCCAGCCTAGGCCAGCCAAGACAGAACAAAAAAGTGAATCTCCAGGCAGAGTGAGTGAGGGTTGACAGCCACCATGGGAAAGAGCAAAGCAGACTTTCAGAGCAGTCACATCACTGGCATCACCACCGCCCAAGTCCTTCGTGAGCACCCCCAATGCTCATGTTTTCAAAGAACTTGGCCAGCCCAAAGTGGGTCACGCACTGAAACCCAAAAGGGAAACTCAGCAGACCCCAGCTCAACCTTAAGATAAGGCTGACTATCGGGGAGGAGGTGCGGGGGAGGTGGGGCACAGGTGGCTTCAGAATTTAGAAACCTGCCCTGTTATACTTGGAATCTGTTACCCTGAGCCATCTGCTTTCTGAAAAGCACAGGGTTTGAATGCGGCTGTGAAAGCCACCAAGTTATGTGGGGCACTGCTCTTTCCCAGCTAGTCTGTGTCAGTGTCAACTCTGGGACTTGGGGACAATCCTGTGGGGTGGAAGGACAGCAGTTTATTGTGCTATGAGCTTCTTTCACAGCAGTAACTTCATTCATCTGGCCGTGACCCAAAGAAACACATTGTATATCATAGTCCAGCACACCGTATGCATATGTAAATATATATATATACATACATATAACTGAGAAATAACTTACCTTTAGTACGTGGTGATGCACTAATTAGTTCCTATACTATTTTTTAAGTGTTTGTTGGAATCCAGTAAATTGATTTCACAACTCAACAAAAGGTCATAACATGTAATTTTGAATGAAACCAGTCTGCCACCAACCAGCTGTGTTACTGAACCTCTCTATGCCTCAGTTTCTTCATCTGTGAAGTGGGAATAATAGTAATACCTACCTCAGAGAGCTGGATTGAAGAACCATGAGGAAATTGTCTATAAAGTGCTTAATAGTAATCCTCTCCACTTTCC